GGACCCATTGTTACGAGTGTAGACTTGAGGCCCACTAACTGCAAAAGACAGCTCATAGAACTTATTTTACACTGCGAAATGGAGAGGTTTTTGACAGCTCCCGCTATCCAGCTTGCACCGAGTCAACGAATAAAGACTGACTCTATATGGTAGCGGTGCCACAACGATCGCTTGCATGATAAGACTAAAATGGATGACAGTTGGACGTAAAAAAATGGCGTCAATTTGTTCCGGTGAAAAAATAGCGCCCGAATTTTCAAGGTGGTAGATTGCTGAACGGCATGTGCTACATCCAGCTCAAAAACCAGTTGCGTGCTGGCTTCGTCGGTGAACCGGGTCGAAAAGCACTAGAAAACGGAGAGTCTTGTAAACTTTATAGACTATGCCACAGAAACCGTAGTAATGGATGCAGACCAGTAAATATTCTAATTCAGCATGCGTCTATGGCTTTAGGCGAGTCACATTGTGAGGCTTCGCACTGCTAGTCAGTTCTCCGCATGCTGCCTTCGTGTGTCCAAACAGCTTTCTGGGGAGTTTTATGTGGATATCTGATCTGTTGAAGTTCACGGCTTACGTGGCCTTCCATACGAGCACATCGGCACTGCGCTGCCGAATTTACCTTTCTGGTAAGGCGACTAGTAAAGTGGCTCAAGTTGGGCAAGCGGAGCTGTGGCAAAAAAATCTCCCATTCACAACGTCAAACTACCTCCAGCTACGGTCGCGAACACTCGCGGTTTTCATTTCACCAACTTTCCCACCATCACAACGCATGAGGCCATCACACCTTTCCCAAACTTCTCAACCAAGTATTCAACCATACATTGATTCAGACAACAACCTTCATTAGCCGATTGAGTAAACGTCACTACGACTGACCTTTTGCAGTTGGTGGGCCCACTTTTACACTCATAAGAATGGGTCCACAACACACCGTTTCACAATATGCCCTGTGGGTGTTGTCTACCTGGAGGTCTATAGTGATTTACGTTTTCTACGGAATATTTGGTGTGGCATCCAGCTTTTAGCTTGACAGTTTTTAAAAGAAATATTACAACCTTTTGGGAAAAAGTTAGATGGGAATAGTGACAACCGTCTGTGTAGAGAACGGAAGAGAAACATGAGACCACTGATCGGTAGTTTTCCGGTAAACAAGTATCGAGGATACACATGGTTGCGTAAGATCGCCAAATCTGTGTGGACTAGTATGTTGCCACACCACTTGGGATTTTACCCGTTTCAGGCCTATTTTCTTAAACCTCACGGACCTTGGACTTTAGACATTAAATGAGAAGATTATGTTTTCGAACTTTCACATCTTTCCGCCCTGCTTCCAGAGGCCTTTAACTTGTAGATTCAAAGAACTAACCGATCGGTAGCCGTTCACGGTCAAATTTGCTAGTACCAGCGAAAGCGTACTGGTAAGTGATTCATCAGATTATTGGGTATCGTCTCACAACCTAAACAAGAAACCCACCGCGATCAATCTATCTTAAAACAGTTCCTACATCAGCTTTTTGTTCATTGAGCCGCGTGATTTCTACATTCAACCAAAATGCGGTAGGAAGCGTCACACTGCTAGAGATGAAAACGAGGGCGCATCAGCAAGCAGTTATCAATCGTGATAGCTAATTTTATGGAAACTGAAATCCAGCGGGCGATGAACACATTTTCAGTCAACATGCTTGGATATGTATCTATGTATCTGTTTGGGCGTGGTGGACTTTCTCTCATCAGAGATCTTCTGAGTGCCTTTTGTAGCAATACATGCCAGAGTCTTTCTGGGCCCAACCAGCATGCAAGTTTTGGAGATCTTTTCACATCTAGTGAAGGTAGGCCAGGGTGTATTATAAAATTATGTGAAAAACTTTCTCATCATTCGATATTCAAGGTCAAGGATGATTTTTCAAGGAAATGTGCTAAAATAAACGCCTCCCTGTCGTTTTATTTTTTCGAAGGTCACTTTTACCTGATTCAGTTCCGTTGTGTCGTCAACATCAAAACAGTTATTGTGGTGGTAAGAGGGTCAGAGAATCCGCCTTGCTGATGATGGTTGTACACACGGAGAGAATTAGAAAAGGACTCAATTAGCTAAGGACGGACCCCTTTAAATTTGCGAGAGATTGGATGCTTTAAGGGAACACACAAGCGTATCAAATCTATCAGCACGATATTGGTTGTATTAACCGAAACTAAGGCGATAATGTGGTGTACATTAATAATGATTGCTGGTCTCTCAAGTGGTAATGCACTCTTAGAAGATGTTAAATTGGCCCTAAACAGATCATCATAGATGGCATTATGTGCAGGAGCTCCAAATCATTTAAACCCACACAGGAATCAAAGTTTGATAAGGTTTCCCGTGATCTTTTGGTAATACTCCTTAGGAGAAGTTAACATGGGCTCGTATGGCGTCAGTACTTATTCTAAGAAGAATGAGATGTCTGATTTTTTGCTGATATCCTACGATAGTCTTCAAATTTTCTTTTCAGATGCAGCCATAAATATCTCCAATCGTGTTTGTTGGTCTTCTTAAGCTGGTTCTGTTGATGATCTGGTTGTAACGTAATTAGGTTGGTTATCAGGTGACAAGCACTAAGAAATGTCTGTTTTACTAAAAGGATGATGATAACAAAAGTTCAGTGCATTTCATAAAAATAAATACAATACAAGAAGGGAATAAGCCAAAAAGTGAATTATCGTTTGAGGACAGCTGTTGAGAGTTCCTGCTATACGTACGCCGTAGTTGTCCGTGGAGACTTGTGGAACTCGGTGAAATTCCTGTCCGGTGTGTGTGCTTTTGGGCCGAGTTGCATGCAGTGTGAAGAGGGGGATGTCCATTCGTGTTGATAATTGCACGAACATGAATACAACTTGACCTGATGTGGTTGAGGTTCGCAAGCCTGGTGCGTGACGCGTAAACAAAAATGGATGGTAAATTTTAGTGTATATGTTGTCGGCTAAGTTGGCAAGTTGGATAGGCATTGTCATGTGATTTGAGTGTTTTTGGCGCGTGATCTAGTGAGTGACCGCTACAGATCCAACAAAAGTTTGACCCAATGAGAACAAACTATTTATCCAGCCACACCACAATCCAGAGTCAAAACGCCCGTCCATTTTGTAAGTAAACTCGAGAAGAATCACTTCACTGGTTCGTTAATCCGCTACTGCATCATAAAGTGAGGCCTTGACAAAAGTCATGACAGTTTAGCACTGTCAGATACTTCTTCAGTTAGCCTTGTGGGTGCTCTGTCGAACTCTACCTCCGCGGAACAGCTAAATATGACCAAAAGAAAGGTAGAAGCTTAACCCTTGAGAAACTTTTTTTTCATATGACGGCGAATCGTTAATGCAGTCCAACACTAAGGTTGAGAAATGGTTTGAGAAATCCAAAAGGATATTACTCCGTTTACTGCGTTGTATATTTGAACAGCATATTCAGGCCCTACTTCCCCACCGGAGTTATACGAGGAAAGAGGGCGAGATGGCCCAAGTGGTAAGAGCGCGAATTTACTGACCGGAAGGTCCGTGGTTCGAATCCGACCTCCGCCTCTCGACTTCCCCTGTCTAGGCTTGGGTAACCTGGCCCTCGTGCTTCCTTCGTGTGGCATGGTAGCTAGGCACCGAAAGGGTGCTACAGCTGAACGCATACGAGGAAAGATCATAGATACGTCTGACTGAAGTGGTGCGGAACGGGGTAACGTGGTGCTTCCAGAGAGCTATGGAGTGATGGCTTCAGACAGCTGAACCGAGGAAAGATCATAGATACGTCTGACTGAAGTGGTGCGGAACGGGGTAACGTGGTGCTTCCAGAGAGCTATGGAGTGATGGCTTCAGTTAGTACTACTTAGTGGGTTCTGGGAGTTTCCGGAATTACAACGCTGTTTATGTTGCCACTGGTTTTCATATATCCGTAGATTACGCAAGAACTGGTCCTCTGCAATAATGACAATATCTGAGCAGATGCATAACTCCATATAGGGTTGTGAACGAAAGGCATACCTTAAGGAGCGTTTTTTTTATAATTTTTTGCTTATGGTAGTTTCCAAGTCTATGCGATCCCCACCCCGAAATTAGTCGTCGTCCGTCTCCCAGCAGCTAATCTGAGGTGATGAACTAGAGTGGCCATGCAATTTCATCAAGGTCATTTGTGTAGGCTTTTAGTCGAGTTCACACGTCTTTAAAACGTTTGCAGTTAGATTTATTTAGTTCGTCTCCTTCAGTCCTTTCAGAGCAAAACTAAAGAAGTAGCACTTGAAAAAACGTGTTCATCGAGTTACATCCCCGGTTCTGTATTGGATTCGGTTGTAGGAATTGAGTCCTGACATGACACATTCATGGATGGCAACTACGTTATCTAGAGTGCCAATAAACTCTCACCAGATATATCTCCGTGTAGAATGGAAACTGCTAGTCAAGAAATAGTAATCTTTCTGGGTACTTTTCTTGCATTTCATCCACACTTATATCAACCTCTAAAGGTGCGCTAACTCAGGGCCGATTTTACGGTCATCCTTTTGACCTTTCTTACTACCCCACTGCATTTATCGCAACCTTAGTAGTTCGGTTCAAGATATTGACTGTTTCCACAAATAATATTTTCCTATATGACAGCTGAGGTGAATAGATTTGAAATCTCGATTGTACCCAGGACATAAACCAGAGAAAATAATTTGGTGCTTCCTCATTGGTTAACCAGGACTACGGAAAGGCTGCTCCAAGCCTAAAGATGGGGACACGATATTCAGTCCGATGGTACGGCAGACTCGTTCCATGTCATTCTCGCTCTCCTACTGTACATGCCACCGACATGCACCGAGATGTGATCTACGGACAGAACACGAGCACCGAAAAGTGATTGGACCGTAACATCGTTCGACGATTGGTTGCATCGGCTGCGGTTATTCTCACAACAACCAATCAACAAAGGCGCTGTCTAAGGTTCTTCCTCTGCCCGGAATAACTAATTTCAGATTGACAGAGCTGAATTTCACAATCTACTCATGATATGTAATGAGGCTGACGTTACTGAAGGGGAGCCTGCTTCAAAGCGCTCAAAGTACTCCAGTGGATGCAAGAATGACGGATCTCTGCGGGACAGCAGTAGTGAAACAGCCACAGCTACTCGAATGCTACTGAACCAAGGTTGTGATGGCGCGGCAGTTGCCAACTGTCAGAATGCTACGCATGGGTGCACCTCGGTTATAAACGATCTGCCAGGATTCCCTTTTTCCCTGGATCCATCCGACTCTATGGGCCTCACTGACCAAACCTGTGAGTTACTAGTCTCTAATGTACACCTAAGCGCACTGTGTTGACTGCAGACCTAAAATTTTCTTGATCACCTACAGGCCATTGTTTTGCACGTTCGGAGATGACCATCTGTTGGTTTATTTTTAAGTATAAGCATGAGGTTCTTTGTACCAAATATTCGAATAACAAGTGTGTAGGACTTAGATTGGGAAGTTGACGATTGTGGACATCAGACCAACTAACTCACTTGTCCGGGGACCAAGATGAAAAGGGACCATAGGAGCAACTGTCACTTTAAATCAGACTATATCAAATGGGTTTTAAAGTGGTCTGGAAGGTGGTGCAGTAAGAAGCTGCTTAGGAAAGTGCCGTACTAAGCGATAGGGATGTGTTTATTTTCTGTTCCGCTTGTCAAAGTACCAGTTAGAGCTGATGTGTGCATACCATTCATATGGGCCTTTTTAATATCCCGGGAACCGTTCACGGGCATACACCTTTACTACCGCGTAAGTCACGGCATTTGGACTTATAACGCAATAGGTCGGAATAGTCTAAGCCCGCATGTAGCTCACATATTATGTTACGAGGCAACACTTTCTCCTGAACTCACTATTGCTTTGTCGGGTAGACTTGTGCGTACATTCTGACATGATTGTGCATAGATTCGGAGAAGAAAACTCACAATCGGCTAGGAAGTTAGTGCATGTAATTACCACGAATTTGACAGGCATGACCCGAATAAAACAAAACATTTATCACTAGTGACTTAACTTGTAGTGTAGAGCGCGAACATGCTTGGGACGAATAAGGTGTAACACTGGATGATCAGTGGAACACAAAAAATGAATGTCATGCACCATATGCTGCTACACTTATGAGGCCTGGGTGTTTTCAGTGTTTTATTACACTTACCACATTGTACACAGCAGATACAGTTTGCACGGCGTTCAGAAGTCATGCCACGAAAAGGGAGCGTATATTTATGAACCTGGGAGTCGCACTCATTTTCTGAGCTAATATCAGCTGGAAAATTATTGCGTGACTACCAGTCTCTTTGAGAGAGACCGCTGTGAGAAGCGTGGAAATCGGTCTTCATTTGGAGGTGACTTCTCTTCAAATAGATCCCATAACTCCGGTTCAAGGAACGAACCACCAACCAACTGCACAGCCTGAGCTACCAGTATTCTTTTCATATGCCTTTCCACAATGTATGCCTCTCTTAGGGTGGCGCTAATGCAGTATAATAACCCAAGTTTTACCATAACAGAGTATTTTGATTTAATTGTTCTGTTCTTAAAACAGGTACTTGGAACAAACGAAGTTCCCGTAGGATTAGATGAACATGTATGTCCACGACGTTTCGATCCGCCACTTGCTCTTATCACGTCAGTTATGCAGGGACTGTTTAGCCAATAGCCAAACACAAGAAAATACTTCAATATCTTTGAAATGAAACAATAAGTGGCGTTTGTGCAGGACACTCAGTTGAAGAATATCAGAAACGGGAGATCAAGCTGGGATTCGGTTGCAAAAGGCTGAGGGAAACTCAGAAACTGGTGGTGGATTATCGGGGACCTTACAATTGGTGTTCTTTCAGGGAAATTACACTTATTCATGGGATCATGGTCTGATCAAATAAGTAGGGCCAAATAGTAGAATTGCAAATCAAATTTCAGACACAACGAAGGGACGAGATACGATGGGCATCAGTATTTAAGGGAAAAGAAATGGGGTAAATATTTAAGTTCAGGCCAGTAGCTTTGTAATGGTGGAGACGTGGCTGAACCCTTTTCCTTTTGGATGCCAAAGTCGCCTCTGCCTGGCGTGGAGTATTGTCTTTTCTAACGATTATCGGTCCGAAATAACTCCGGCGTTCCAGTGCAGATTGAATGCAGTTGATTAATTATTAATATCCTGGGTTGTCTACCAACAGGTCCCAACAGCCATTTCTGTAAATGCTCACAGACAGTCACTTTTCTATCCTAACTATGCATTCGCTCCCACACACACAATGGCATTTATGAATGTAGTCTAAATTGGCCGGGTTGGGGTAGTTATCGCTTATCAACTGAACCGGTATTCCTGTTGTTTTGTAAATATTTACGAGGTCACCTGCGTGAAAGGTGTGTTGAAAGATGTCTTCAGCATCATTGAGCACATAGCACCTTCTGAAATCACTGTCAACCCATAACAAAACAATAACCCGGGCTTCGTATCCCCTAGTCCTAAAGAAACTTTTGTGCTTGACAATATGATTACATAAGCAAATAAGCTGGGGTTCGTTTGGGCGTCTAATGTGCATCAAATTAATTAGCAAATGAAGTTATTTAGCCATCTGCGTAAATTCTGGTGCAAAAGTATACGAACCTACTCTGTAACAAAATGGCTACTTCAGCCATCACACAAAGAGAGACCATATAGCTGGCAGCAATCATACTGTGATTATCATGTTATTGCTCAGAAATTAATTTCATAAGTTTACTGTGTGTTCTATTACAGTAGGAAAACTATAACTGCAATAAGGCGGGATTGCTTGCCTAAGTGTTCGATTATTCGTTTCAGAATAACAATAATCAGTCACCTAAGTCAGAATATACGTCGCTTCGTCCTCCAAAACCATGACCATCTGGCGCAACTACTGTTCTGCACAATCACACAAGCGCACAAGTGAATTCATACTATTCGGGAACCACAGGTTTATCCTCGTCAGCAGCTATGAGACAATGGGGGAACGTCACGTCAGGGGGGAAATCGAATGGTAGGACCACTGAACTTGTATCATACGATAGACAACCATGCAAGCTTGTGCTTCAATCCCACAAACGCCATATGAGACAGACAGAAACAAACACAGAAGTTAGTTTAGTCGAGACGGGCACTGACATGAAGCTGTATGAAAACAGAAGGCTCCTGTCTGGAAGAAGCGCATTTGGTTAAAAACGCTGTTGCTGGTCAGCTGACTCAAAAACTGTCGCCCTGTCTTACAGATTTTTTTATTCGCAGTCAACCGGAGTTCCACAAAGTGAATTCTGAAGTAATCACTTTCTTCCACTAACTTTCGAGCCAAAATCATTTCCACAGGTGTGGAAATCTGTCTGCTTCATTTCTGGTGAATGATTGGCCATCCTATCCGTTTGTGTGTTAACTTTTTTAAAAGGTCCCCCGGTCAGAACGCCAATAATCCTTCTTTGAAAGCTGAAGAATTCTTGTGTGATGTATGAAACTATACAAGCTTGCATCAAGGGTGTGTGCTTCATTCGAATAAATATCCGCTTACGTATCTTTGCCACCATTCTTCATCCCATTAGCAAAACGTACGACACGAGTTTCTCAGCATGGGGCGCAATTAGAAAATTTGATTGTATTTCTACTGGGACCAGCCGATTTAGTAACACGGGTCTGCTTAGGATCGAATCAACAACCAAAACTGTTACGTCTCCTCAAAGATTTAGTGCAACACGCTGAGCCGCCTAATTATCACTCTGAACCACCCAGCCCGCTTCGATTACTTTCGCTCAGTAGTTCTCATGACCAGGTTAAAAAGCTGAAAGCAATCTCATTGATCCTGTTCTTTTGCTTTATACAACTTACTTTGTGTTTTGTCGTTTGGTTCGAATCTTATCGACAATAGTCCCAAGACTAGTAGGGAGAAAACGGGGTGGTCTATGGTCAATTTGAGCAATAACCAAGTCATTACCCGGTTGCCTGTGTAAGATCAAAACATATATTTGAAGAGGGAAATCTTAATATCTGAGACCTCTCAAATGGAGGTCGCAGGAATCATAGTCCCAGTGGTGTGGAAAACAAAATTCGGTCTGTTGGGACAGTTTATCTTGTGATTTCAAGCCTGCATGATGTACATCCCTTATGGTTTCTAGTAATAATGGGTTGTTTTGGCAATTTAAAGAGTCCTATTCATGGGCATTCATTTTTAAAGATATTGGATACATCTACGCATAAGATAGCAAGGGCGCACCCGCTTACCATTGTTGCCCATCATTTCGTTAAACAGATTTCAGTCTCTCGTCCGGCTAAGAGATTTAAACGAAGTTTTTCCATCGGTACTAACTACCCTGTTACCAACACATGCGGCATCACTTCTTTGTTTGTAAATGAGAAACAGCAAGTCCATTCTTGTGGACCTCATCAGAGGAGACAACTGAATTTCATTTACACCAGGCTTTAACTGAATGTGTTACATAAAGATAGTTCGCACTTTGGTTGGAACCATACTCAACATACTCCAGAGCTTACACCAAAATGACAAATCATGTCAAGTTCTCCTTTCTTAATAACAATGCTATTATTCGGATGGATAAACGGCTGTTTTACGGACGCTCTTTGCCTTGGAGTCAGAGGGAGAGTCATTACAGTGTGTGTTTAAAGAGGAGCATGGTGTGGGTCTTTATTCTGAAGAAGTGGACAACTTGAGGTTTGAACTGTTATTATCTATATCTAAAAAGCAGTCAGGGGCGATTCGAAAAGCCTCGAAGCAGCTCTGGACTGCTGAAGTAGTAAGCAATGAAAATTCCTGATAGTGGTCGATGGTAGTCCAATCGACCTTTAGCAGCTATCAGCTAACTTTAAAACTTCTTCACAGTTAATCCTAGTTTGTAAGTGACACTTTGTGTTTAGAAAGGTCTTTTTCGGAAAATTTCCGAGAGCGCACCAAGAAGATGTGATAAATCCGGCCAGCTTATACTTTTTCATCAACCCAAAAGCCAGACAAACGCATTTTATATCAATGTTACTTTAAATGCGCATCATCAAGCTAGGCAGTAAGTGTCCAACATTTGCTAGCATCTTAGTTTACAAAACATCCCACTGTGGCTTGTCTCGCAAAAGGGCTGTGAGGGTTTAAGGACTCCATCCTTTGTGAAATAGGTTCTTCTATGCGGTCGATCATATATCATTCATCTGCCGTGTTCTGCTCGCTTGGTAAATCATCTTCACTCGCCACCACCATTGAGATTTTTATTATGTCGAATCAGTTTTCCGGGGTTCGTTTTAATTCTGATCCGGATACCGCTCAGAACTGCTCGATCCGTATTCGGTAGATGAACCCCACTGTGTTTCAAAGCCCTCTGAAAGCAATGTTTGTTCACTTCGGTCCTTCATTGCTTCCCATCATCGCCAGCAATAGACCTGTTTGTTTGGGCGGGTCCGTTGGCAACAAGCCTGTTGACGAACATCCACTTCAAGACCTTGCCTCATCCATTAGACTGAGGTATAGCAACAGCATACACATCCCTCTAGTGAGGCGTGTGCGACGTTCCATTAGCCTTTCTCACCTGGATGATCAACACTTGCATCTGAAAGCGCTGTTAATGTGTTCAATCAGTTGCCTTCAAGATGACTCACTTATTTCACATTTGGTGTGTGTCGCATTGAAAATCCAAACGAGAGCATGGTAACTGTGTTAAACTGGACAAGAAATTTCTCTCCTTTGATACTCACCACCAGAACTGGTTTTAAAACGTCTATATTGAGGCCGAAATGTTATGGTGCCCTCTAGCTTTCAGCTAATTTTTTCTTGACTGGAAACACTTTAGACGACCACCCGCAAACAGTGATTCATTCTTCGAACAACGGGTACTTCTGGTGGAAAGATACGCAGCCTTCTTTCGGTTCTCAGCACCCTTGTCCAGTGGGACATTTGGATATTTCCAGTCCACCAACTTATGGGCAGGCACCAATCTTCTTGCACCCTTCAGTCGAGCATAATTATGAACAGTCGGACGCAAAAATTCATCATATTGAGCAACTGACTTCAAGCCACAAATCTACGATAATCGCTGCCACAGAAAGCGGCGATCTGCCTCAGTCGAATCACGACGCATTCACCAGTGCTACCGATAGGAGCCGTCTAACGGAGCATGTCATGAGCAACAACGGATTTCAAGCGAACGCTTTTTTGGAAGATAGTCGTTCCTCATCTAGCCTTGACACGCCCACAAGCAATCAGCTGGTAAGTGAAAAATCATCTTTTCTTTTATACCTAGTACGCCGAATACAGTAAACCATTTAGAAAGCCTGTGGAGAAATAAAGCGTTGAATTCTTCTTCGTACTAACTTCCTTTGAATCACACCAACATCACCTTTGACAGACAATGCCTTTGTGGGGTCTTCCTGAGACTGGCTTGCCTTCGGTAAAGCTTATTTTGGAAGGGTTGCTGAATTTTCTACATCAAATATGGTTGAAAGTGCTTGGAAATTACGGAGATCTCAATGTCCTGGCCACGTTGGGGCAAGACAACAGCAGCAGTGGTGGTACGCACTAAAATAGGTTGTTTCATAGTGGTTAGCATGTCGACATGAAGAACCTAAGCGTAAACGCCCAGGCCATAGCATGCTTTGCCTCAACCCAACTATGGGAGTCGCTATTTATTTCTAGTCAGTTTACTTTTGACTATATTCGTCATATGAAAACCCCTGTAGTATACAATTGAGGTAAAGTTGACTTTCTCTGGAGCGATCGCCGTCGGGAGAAGACATATTTGTTAGTCGATTGAAGCGAATTCCAAAAGTGAACGAAAACACCACATCGCAAAATAGTTTCATCCAGTCGGTCCCTTGGAGTGTTTGTTCAAAGGGCGGGACCATTTAAATAGGGAAAAATTAGGAGAATAAATGTTAATTAACTAGAATAGGAGATTGATGGAAACTCGGAGGCTTGACCTACCTGGCGAGCTTCAAGAAACGTGGAATCGGTCGTCAGCCGTCGAGGAGTCTTCATGAGTCTTGACAATAATGTTCCGTTAAGGAACAATGTTGATGGTGCCTTCCGACCTTCAGACTACCACAAACTTCGAAGTATAGAGATAAAAGATGTACGACCTGAGTCAAGCTTCAGAGTGAATTTGCTCAACTGGTAGCTTTGTGCATGACATAATCACATGGCTCTCCACCAAACAGGCGAAGGTCAAATCCAAAGAGTGCTTTACCTGATGAAGGGTGCACTATCTGCATTGTCTATCTTCCTGGGGCATGCAAGAGTGTGCTGTGATATTTTTACCAGAGGCATTCAAAATATGTAAGCCTGAAATGTTGTAGTTCTGGATGGCAACAGAATACTGGGCAAAAGTTGCCACAAACGAAATTATTGATGTAGAAAAATGAAAGGCTTCTCTCAGTTGGTTTCTTCGAGGTGCAGATAGCTCACTAGTTAAGAGGCGTACCTACTAATCGGGAAGTCCATGGTTCAAATTTAACCTCTTCGTTTCAACTGCTCCTGTATAGACTGGGGTAACCCGGCAAAATCTCAGCCCTCATACTTCCTTCGGGTGGCATGGCAGCCAGGCGTCGAAAGGTTAGTACGGCTAAACGGTTGTCATTATTATTACTTTTGGTTGGTTTCTTTAGCCGTTGTTGTTGTTATAGCTTTCTGTTCCCATTCATACAAAAGCTTTAATGCACCATTAGCGCCCCAACCAGAATGTCAGCGGGAAATAGCAACATGAAACATTCTCAACCTCATCTTGCACACCTGGTTGAAATTGTCTGCAACCACCAATTATTCACTGACAGGGGCGTGATGATTATGGGGTTGATCATTCTGATGTCCAGTGATGAGTTACCGGAACTATAGTTGTCCCTAGATTTGCCAGCCACGAGCATACATGCATGAGTTCCTCACTTAAGCGATTAAAACCTTCCCGAGCTAAAAGACGCATCCCTATCTATCCATCATTTATAGCGATTTCTGGCCAGTGAATACTCTGCCCTCTCCCTCGCCCCAGCATGAACACTGGGCAAGCATACAAGCTACAAACAGTAGACGACTCTACGGATGCACATGCACCATGATATGATAGTGCACATCGTTAAGTCGTTATGACAACTTAACGCTTACCGCAACATCGGATGCACTAGGTAGCGTCGTCAGCTGGAAAAAAGTGAATTTGTTGCTGGATTTTGCCAGGAGGCTGCTTTTCTAGCCTCTAGTGATGCCTGCAGCCCAGACGTTTTGGGTTGGTTTTAATTGTGCTTTTGCTTCTGGCCTGAAAATCGGTAAGCCAATCAGAGGTCTTATTCGCCGCGAAGCAAAAGCATCTAAATCAGATCTATGGTTCAATCTTTGTAAATATTGTCGTCAGAGATCAACAATGTCTCGGAATAGTTATTGGATAAATGGTCCAGACTTTTACATGATGAATGTATGTTTGGATCTAAATACATGGCTTCGGTAAATGTCACATCCATAATGAGAATCATCCACAATGTAGCTTTGACAAGCTGGACGTTTACAAGCCCGAAGACGAGTCAGTAGCTTGTTACACCGAGAGCGCCAGACTCGTGGATTGTTACACGAAAATCTAATTTACCCCGTTTCATTACCAGACAGGCGCTGCAATATATCAACAATTCCCAGATTCAAATTAGTGGGCTTCATCTACCAAACTGGTTATCATTCACTCAGAACCAGGCTCCGAAACCTTCCTTAGAAGGGCACTGTAGAGTAATCATCACATGACTAAGAAATAAAAGTTAATGGAGCTGATTTCGTTCGGCTGTCTGCTTCGGCTTCATTTCCCTTCCGTTAAACCATACTAGTTGTTTTTGCTTATTCGGTTACAGCAGCTACTCCAGAGCTGCTTCTGGAGCATCTTGGCTTGTGAGAGCTCTAACATACAAGCAATTAAATCAGCTGATTGATGTTTTGTTAAATTCCGCAGCGTTTTACTCACTTGTTGGACAGGCATGCGGCACAGCTTTACCGGAGGCCTTAATTACAGTGAGCGGGGCTTGTCAATTTGGTTGAATTAGTGAGAGTTGGGTTGAATAGCTTTATTTTGTGTATTTGTGCCACTTCATTTTTTGCTTCAATAGCTGCACTTGAATCAAAACATCGATGAAGATCCTGATTCACGGGTGGATTATGCAGGTCAACACACCAGGTCAATAGCCGTCTCCATCTCAGAGCATTTGTACACCCACTCACAGAACAACGCCGTACATGCTCCACCTTCTCTGTCGTTGGCTTCTTGCACCCTCATTTCACCTGACCTGGTATGTCAACCCCAGCCAGCCACACATTTGCATCCCAAGACAGCAGCGACCTTCATTCCCCCGATGTCAAACTTCACGTATCCTGTAATAGATGGTGAGTGTTTTTTACTATTAATGTGGGGCAGCAAATAGTTTTGCCACCCGATGACATCCCTCCCTGTTTGATAAGAAGAAAAACACACTCGCTATAACCAGTAACCTGTATTTCCCACCCAACGAATTTTCGCGGGCTTGATACAAATCGGAAATTTACGGAGAAAACCAGGGGTCGGTGACTTTTCGGGAAGTTCGTTGGAGTCGCCGCCTGTGTGTCTGAATTTACGGATAGTTTTAGCTCCCTTTAATTTCGTCGATCACGCCAATGTGGTTTGCAGTTCAGTCGACCGAGAAACCTGATCCCCTAGTGCTGTCTGACTCCGTGATTAAAAAAATCTTGCTCACCCCCTGCTTCGTTTTCTTCTCTCCTCGAATCCCACTCACGTTCTCTTGGCAGTGCCATAAAATGTTTGTTTTTATCTTCATCTGTGGTTTAGAATGAATTCATAAGTGTCCACTAAACGTGGCCTTGCTGGACACTTACGACGATCTACCCCTATGGGGAAACCTCATACGGGAAAATGTCCGACCGTAAACCGGGTCATGAGAATGGTATGCGCTTAGGTCTGCCCTTTTCCACTTTCGATCGATATAGTCTGTTTGAAAACTCTGACGCAACCATAATTTTCAGATGGCAAGTCTATATTCACCACTAAAGACTGCTGGTGTTTCAGCAAATTCTATCTATTCATCCCTCCTGATGCCAACTCCGTCACCCTCAACCTGACAAGACCAGCTGGGGATTGAGTTAGATTATCGGGCTGCTCCATTCCGGTTTTGTTCTGCTGAGCTCTGTTCATTCAGAAATGTTATGGACCCGGGCATAAGATAATTTAACGAAGCAGCGAACAGCTAACTGAGAGTTCCTTATCAAACAGTTTTGGTCTGCAATACTGTTTGAGCGCACTGGGTTCAATTCTTCAGGTGATTGCAAGAACATAAACCAACCCTGATCCTCATTTGACAGGGCCTTTAATCAATAGTGGAGAAAAATACAAAGAGATCTGTGGAGGAATTAGAATAGCATCCACTAGACCAATGTACTTCGTTGACAGAGAGCAGGAACTGCAAAGACTGTACCGGAATTTTCGCACTTCAAGGGAAGTCAAAGTCATTCAGTGAGTGTGCCTATTCATATGTAGTGCGCTGGGAGGTTGAAGGATCGAGGCGAAGGCAAAAAGCTGACAAAAACCTTTCGATTTATTCGTGTAAAACTTGCAAGAAGTCACTGCGCGAACCAAACATAATGGTCGGCCTCTGAGGGCATCACTACGCTTCGCTACTTGGCATTTCTTGCTCAGACAATTTTCACATTTTTGTATGTATCAGAGGGACATTTTCCAGACACATTTCCTACCGAACCTGCTGGTCAGCGCAAAACCGCCTTCTTTCATATGGCTGCGTGACTGCACGTAAATATGTACCAAAAGTTATTGCTTCTCTAAAAAGCAATATTTTTCTGCAAGAACTAAATCTCTGTTTTCTTCTTGATGGTTTTTTAGCACAAATTTAGAATGAGAGGTGCTCAAGACACATTTCTGTCGATATCTGGTTTTTGATTATGCGAAAAATAAGAAGTATGACCTGTGAATCAACAATTCGAATTGTTTAGATGAAAATACTGAAAGTAAAAAGCGGCACTGACCTGTTTCCAGCAGCGGAATTCAAATATGTTAGCGTGGAACACGAGCCGATTACCAAGTCCTGCGGTTTGGAATCATCCTGCGCACTTCACCTGACAAACTTAGCTCTAACGCTCCCGAGAAACTCCGACCATGCCCTTGATGAAAGTCGGTATGGGTGGGTACTAGTAAGCCATAACTCATCGATCCTTCAGAAATATTTTTGTAATTGACATAGTGCATAAATGAAAGCTTTTGTGTTTTGGAGCACTTTTTCTTGCGTACTTAGAAAATATCGACCAGTATGTTTTACTGGTTTAGCCCGTGTGCTGGGATTCTTCAGGAACGATTACGATATCGCCGTGTTCAACGGCGACCGAACCTACTGCGTCCGACCGCTCAGGATGAAGTCGGTAGTGAACTGCTTCTCAGGTTTAAGCATGTTCCATTTCTCTTGCTTGATTTTTAACTACCTGTATAATGAGAAAGTTCTTTTTCAGAATATTCAAACTGGTTTGCTCATGGAACTCGGTAACCCTTACTTAAAGGTGCATTCACTACTCTATTCAGATCTTTCCGTTCCGAAATATGTTTTCTCACTCGATCGCCTTCCTTACAAACCAGGTGATTTACTTATGAAATTCTGAACTTCTTTGACCACTAGCAGCAGGGAACCGAGTTGTTTAAAATGTGGTTTCGCCGCTTTTAACAAAGCAGTAAAGAGTTAGGCTGAATTCACACTCGGTTAGAATTGCGATTGAAATGCTGTCTTGATAGAACTCGTTTCAATTAAATAGTGATGTCTAAATTTTTTTGTAAGGGGGTATACTTCACCCTGTAGAGGTGCCATTTCCCCATAAACGCTCCGATCAATCTGCCGTCATTCTCGCACGATGTATCAGGAAATTTCCTCTAAACTTAAAACCAGAGATGTCATCGCGCTGTCTTCGTTTTTGTCTCGTTTGTTGTGACGGCACATTCGCATGTGTTGTATGTTAAGAGACCTGATGTACAAGGGCTTCCTGGATGATATTATATTGGAATACTAGTGAGGATCGACTGTAGCTCAAACGGAACAACAGGCTTTTAACTTTCAACCCTTGACATCTATTCAGACATTATACAGTTGGATGATGGGTGCAACGGTGGGACTATGCATTTTAGTCGAATTGACTCCGTCTGGTTAAGACAAACTAGTCAATGTTAGAAAGTCTTGGCAGGGGATGTTTAATGCTTGCTAAAAGTTATCGGCCCATTGCCTTTAAAAATAACTTGAGCAATGGATTTCAACACCAAAATCTTTGTTTTTTATCCCGAGTGTTTCGTGACACTTCGCAACCAAGGCTAGATGTAGGTCAAGACTTCCGCTGGTTTCACATTATTCGCATACCAAGGCTAGATGTAGGTCAAGACTTCTGCTGGCTTCACATTATTCGCATACATAGTTTCAATCGAAGAAATCTTTTGAACCAATAAAACAGCCTTGCTGGTACAAACAACGGTTGGTTCGACTGTCGCTAAAAATCCGTAAGAACGGTTTGGTGAATCGAATGGGTAGGTGCCTTCACTGGAACTGGTCCGCCACGCAATAACAGTCATGCTCGTCTTAGTTACGACCGTTACCGCTCAACCTACACAGTGACGGGATGGTACGCTGCAAATGTTCTCTCTGCATCCTATCCTGGCACCTACCGATGTTGGGAATATTGGAGTGTGCTAGACGGTAATTGTAACGATATCAGGGCTGCAGCGCTCAACCGACAGAACCAGGTCAGACAAAGTGGCAACCAAACTGTTGCTGTGTTATTTTGTGCTTGATAATGAATCGTTACACATTTGGTCCTGATAGACATTCGCCCTGATTGTGGGGTGAGTGGGAAATGTTTGTACATCAGAAGGCGAAGTTCTGTTGGAATTAGTTTACCGTTTTCCCACCAGGATTTACTGTGGTATGTTCAAACCCTAAATTTTGAAAGTTTTGTAACTCTAGGGTGGTCTATGGTGTGTTATTGCAGGCTTTTTGGTGCCGAACGATTATAAGTAAGTCTGACGAAAATTTCCCACGTGAACAGCTCTTGTCGCCCACCTAGAAGATTGATACAAATTGGATCCCATAACATCGGTTTGAGCATCACGAGTAAAAGTGCTGACTTTTCTCAAATCTACACTCAATTTTGTGTTCCAGAGCTATTTAGTCCACGTTTCAACACAGATGATAGTCAAACTAACCTTATTATAAGGTCTTCCCTGGAATCCGTCCTTTTTCCTGTTTCAATTAGTGAACTCGCCCCAGGTTGACACGTATTGTTTTCTGCCATTATACTGAACAACAATCCTTCACATTTTGGATCCCTCGATTTTGGATAACTTTTTCCACTATCATCCACGATTTACAGTTGGTTCTACAAGGATTATCGTAATAGCAAGTGGGCTGCTGAACTGTCTGGAAAACTGACGTATGTCGTTAGTACGAGGCTGAAAAACACGACCCAAAAGCAGCACAGTGGTGTAAAACGGACAAGTTTGGGTGCGAACAGGATTGACGTGGGTAAGAAGCTAGATGAAACCTGGGTAGACACAAAAGGCACAGACACTTCTAGATAGATGCGGATAAGAGCACGTGATTCACTGTCTACCATATATAGCTTCTACAAAACATGTATATGTCACATTGGAGTGCTAATTAAAATGTTCGACTGAATCACGTACTGAAAAATGCGAAGCATGGTAGAGGTATCCCATTCAAACTGGGCACTCTCTGCTCAGTTTCGTTTACAGTGTTCTTTTGATGGTGCTGAATGGGTAACGGGATTACGGTTCAGATTTCGCGAAGTCTTCATCACGTATTTACACGTCGCTCCCAAATTGCATCAGACTCACCAAACGAGTTCCTGAAAGAATCTCCCTCCACGGTTGTGTCTAACACCACTCTCAGGCTGTTATCATAGCGGGCAACGCTAGCAGGACCCACCTCCAGCACTTTCTTTTTATGGACACCAATGAGCTGGTTAATTAGCAAACCTGAAAGGAGATCCAACTAGATCATGTTTTTAACCAAACCTCAGCGCATACACAGTTTCTGTCGTTCCAAGCTCTTTGCTGCTCTTGCATCCTCCAACAATCCAAACCCTTCTCCTCCGCGAACATATCGGTATCGCCGTGTAGCTAAGGATAAAGTAGTTTTGTCTCGGTATACCATAATATACTCTGCTCTTGATTGCGTTCATATCACTCATGGGAACCACTTATTTATTGGATTAGGGTGTAAAAACGGGTCTAGCCATCTAACCAATTTTGCTGCTTAAATAAGTTTTTTTCCGAAACGAGTTGGTCGTTCTCGTTCCCCATAAATGATGTGGAGACAGGAGGCGCATGGGAATAGTGTGTTGCACAGCTTGCGTGCTGTTGAAATGACGGAAATATAAGCACAGTCAAACCGTAGACGAAAATTACCTAATATGGTTGCAAGGCTGGTGTCTTCAGACTGGTCAAGGGATGCTTCATAGCCGTGAAGTTGGATTAGCGGGTCGTGCTTGACCTGCCCTTGTTTAATGTAGCAATCCGGATAATACTGTCCGATCTGTTGAAGGGTCATATGGGTTTCTATTAATTCAAAAGCAACCCTGTGCGTTGAAACTGAGATCTCGTAGGGTTTGTGTGTTATCAAAGTTGACCCCATAATCCCCATCCTATGCATGCAGTGCTAAAACTGAATATCGCCCCGATTTGACTAGTTCAATAAGATTTCCCCGAGTTGATAGAGGCTTTCTTCATTTACTGCAAAACTGTATCAGCAAACTGAGCAAGAATATACTGTATAGTATTACTCTGCCCAGAAATTGGAGCACGTATTGTATTAAAACCTTTCGAAAAGCAATCCAACAGTGTTGTTTTATAACCCATTCTCCATCACTGTGGAAATTCTTGGGAAGACCCTGCTGATTTCCCCTTTTTGACATTTTGATCTAACCTTCTTCAGTTTGCTCATACGGGAATCTGTCGTGAAACAATTCCATAGCTTCCTTTGTTCATTAAGACGGTATTTCTGTAGTAATGCGTTACTTCTGCACTTTCCATGGGAGCAAGATGGCTCAGTATTTAGATTGCGAATTTACTGAACGGAAGGTCCGTGGTTCGAATCCGAACTCTGCCTCTTGACTTCCCCTGTCTAGGCTTGAGCAACCTGGCCGTATCCCAGCCCTCTCGCTTTCTTCGCGTGGTATGGCAGTAGGCACCGAGGAGGGTGTTGCAGCTGAACGATTATCTTATTATCTTACATTAGCCTCATTGTACTGCGTTCCGTACATCCTTGACTGGTTAGCTAGTTGGTTAGTTTTCGTGTCGGCTAAGTAGGCGGAGAAAGGTTGGCCTTATTTTTGCCCTTTCTGGGTGGAAATGGTCCTCTGTAAGATGAGATTTTAGTACTATCTTCACTCACACACAAAGTGGTGATTTTTAATCGGTTCACCCAGCTAAAGTTCTTTGAATTTGTAGACGAAAGTTCACTGAGGCTTTTCTTCCCAAACCGTCATAGCTAACTTGGAGACATTCTTCCGAGATCATCCATTCCCCTCCACAAAAATCGGCTCATAATTAGACCCCCATAAATGCATGAAAACGACATTGTGTTGTTTCCCTCCTTATAAAGAACTTCGCAGATCGTTCCTCAACTGTAGGTACAAATGTGTTCCCTAACGCTAATTATTCAACTGTCTACATTCAATGTTGTCTCCCACCTTATTTCAATTGAATAACATTAAAACAGTCTTCGAGAGAGGGAGGAGGTCCTATTTTCCGTCAGATATCCCACACAGTTGTCCGTGCGGTACACGATTCACTTTCATGCCTATATGTCACCGCTGGACTGTTTTTTCTCACCCATACGTACACAATGGCGTTTCTCACACTACTCAGATCTCTCATTAACAAGGTCTTCCCTTAAAAGGTATAACCGCCCAAACCTGTTCACTTACACTATTTTTTTTCAACCGTGGGGTTGTCAAGACTCAGTGGCACAGAAGTTGGATATATTGTGGAATAGGTTTGCGTACAGCATCTCAATTGCAATGGTCTGAATCAAAGTCTACCCACATTCAGGCTTTTTCATGATACTCAGAACGCAGCCCCCTCTTTACCGATCCAAGCGATTGTCACTCTCGCATACACAGTAAGATTTTCCCTACCCGTGACTGTAAATGGATCACATTTGAAGTTTTATCAGAAGTGCACACTTTGACGTAGGGGCACACTGTTTTATCGTTTGCCGAGAGCTTGTGAATGTGGATTGCAACGGTGGCTTTTTTAAGCACGTGGTGCCCTTGGCGCAACAGCTGAACGATCTTTACTGTGTGATCTGGTCATCCGGAGCACACAAACAAGCTAACTGATATGAGTGTGTAGAAATCTGCTTAAACTGGTGCTTATGGTTCGGTACGGGAACAGAAAGTCTGTTCCAATTGCGGTAACGAATTTCCTTGTTTTGAGTACATCCCTGTCATGACTCGTTGGAGAGAAATAAACTTGCTCGTTGGTTTAATATGGCGTAGTGTTGTTCTGAAACCTATAAACTCCGAAATGTTCCTTCTGATCGAACTGGGTCAGGAGGTAACATTAAGGTCTAAGTCTACCCTGGTAAATTTATAGGTGGCTTGGATGGTGATACTTCAAGTCGTTAATTTGGGTGTTGTGACAGTCAGGAAGCCTTGATTTACCATTTTCACTCACTGTTAACGAATTTATCATTATTTATTAATTCACTGTTTTACAGACAGAAACCAAAGTGTTGTCACATGCCATTCAACTGCCCCATCAATACTCCTGTCTCCGTTGGAGAATGCCAGCAGTCCCAGACCGTACTGGGACTACCCGGTCAACATGTTACACAACACGACACCATCAGACTCGTCCATGGTCAATCCATTTGAGACAGGAGTAGGACGATCATTCCATCACACTTCTACCAGTGCACATCCACCAACACATGTCACTTCCCTACCCAGCGATACTACATTAACCACTGAACCCAACTACACGGAAGGCAAAAATCCGGACGACACCGTGAGCAAGGCATCTGGGCGTGCTGATGAAAAACCCCTTCGGGTATTCGTGTGGGATTTGGACGAAACACTGATCATTTTCCACACCCTGCTGACAGGCTACTACGCTCACCGCTACGGCAAAGTAAGCGACAGCGTCATTATCAATCTAGAAGATACGGTTGTTGACGCAGTCTGTGTCGGCAGGATAGCCTTCCACTGACCCACTTGGATAGACTTCTATGCTAAGGTCAATAAAACACTATCCTTAGAGTAACTGAAATTATCCTCAACGAACTTATATGAAATATCTACCCAAAATCTTACCAAATCATATCGGACTCATCGAATTTGCGAACTGAAGAGGCTATTTTAGTGGGATTTCCAGGAGTTTTTGATTCATTATTATTATTCTGCGTATTTTGCAAAAGAAGCAAATTGTGCAAGAAAGCCCTCCGACACTTGTTGATTATCTGTTACATTCTCAAGGATGTGCGACCTACTATTGACCGCGAACCCATGATTGGAGCTTTTAGACAATAAACTTCAGTGATGGTATCTCGGATTTTTTTTATCTGCCGTCGATTAAATGGCAGCTGGCCTGTTTGCCTTGTTCGGTGGTCGAAAAGCAGAGGGACTGATCAACCACCAAATGGCTTAATTACTAATTTGCCAACCTACGTCCTGCAAGTGAGCTTAAATGTTATCATCTAGAATGGGTGGGTTAGGCTAGGCATCCTTTATAAGTTCGAAACAAGGTTGACCAAGTACTATGTACCTTTATTGCAGGATCCTACACTGGCAGGCGCTTATGGACTTCGGATGGAAGAACTCATCTACAATTTGGCGGATACTCATTTTTTCTTTAACGAACTAGAGGTGGGTATTCAACTGGGTTAATCGATGGATTATTTTTTGATGCGAACAATTATGTGTACCCGATGTCATTTTTGCCCATGTGACTCAGATTTACGCAGATCCCTTTACAAACCCTTCGACAATCTATCTTTTTTAACAGAACTTTTCTCTTCAGAGGTAACTTCTGTTTAGTCTGTTTAGGTTATCATTTCAGAACAAACAGATGCATTTTGGGTAACAGTTCCCATGAATCGGGCGAATATCAGTCAAATCGGTTTGCCTATTACCTAATCAAACTTCAGCTTGGAAGAGCTGAACTTCAAGGTTTTTATGGAAAACTGAAGGACCAAACTGAGCGCATCTGATGTTATGATCAATTTTAGCTGTAAGGTGAGTAAGGCACACCAAAACACAAAATCACGACCCTAGTGCTTGGATTGGGGCGAGATGGACCAAATGGTTAGAGCGCGAATTTACCGACCGGAAGGTCGGTGGCTCGAACCCGAACTCTGCCACTCGACTTCCCCTGTCTAGGCTTGGGCGACCTCGTGCCTCCTTCGCGTGACATGGCAGCTAGGCACAGAAAGGGCGCTACAAGACAGCTGGACCTAGTGCTTGGAGACATTAATAGGACTGGTACTTGAAATAGTTGTGATCTTCTGCGAAGCTCACCCCAAATGGATAAACAAGTCACCTAGGTACCATGCATGTTTAGATCGTGTTCGCACAATAAACTTGATTTATACCCGTATGCATAATGTTTACTACCAGCTTTCTTTACTTATAACTAGACTGGTCGTTCGAACGGGTGATGATGTTCTTGGTGGTGATTTTGATGATTTTGTCCATGATAACAATGGTAATGTCCAACACTTCGTGGTTAGTTTTATAATCGATCTCGATAATTTTGCAGACTGATGTTTGTTAGCTGTCGAACGGTATACCCTGAACGACCACTATAACAAAACCCTGATGTCCAGTTGATCCTAAACTTGAATAGCTAACCTGGAATATTCTGGTGTCGTCGCCCTGCTGGATGATGACTGGAAAGAACTAACTGTGCTGTCACTATTACCAAGGAACAGCTTACTCTCCACGTAGTCCGCATTGTAACTAACACTAAAGGGCAGCTTATGCAGGTTTGACAGCCACTGATTGTTCCCTTGCAGCGTGTGTCTGACGCACTTCTGAAATCCACTATCACGTCCCACGGGACAATCGCTCTACAGCAAAGCAAGCAAAGTTGAAGGCATAATGGAATTCAAGTGCAAATTACAGCATATAGGCCACAATCGGTCAGCGTGACCGGAGATTGTTGCGGTAAATCCGTAGAACTGTGCATGTAGGCTTTTTAACTCAAACGTAATGTTGACGGGAGCGAATTCCTACGTATATTCTCGGGTACCAGCGTGAACTAAAACAAAGGTCTGTGCAATCCTTCGAACCGTCATCGTTCAAACGCACTTTCTTTGGCGGTTATTTTTGGCAACTGTTTTCGCAAACTATAAAATTTGTAATCGTTTAAAAAATCTGTTGGAATTCTTTACAGCTGAAACCACGAAAATAGGTTTTCAGCAGCCTGGAACAGCAACCAACATTGCGTTATTCGCGCTGCTGGTCTTACATGGATATGCCGCACCACCGACTTAGGATCTGCAATCTTCCGTGTTATCGGCGAAATTGACAATTGTACTCCTTTCCTGTTGTATATGATGACCGACTTGCTTGCTACCATGGGTAGACCAAAGGCCAAATCAGACGGAAGACGCATGTACGAACAAGCTGAAACCTTGGCACAGTATCACGTTGGCAAGAAAACGTGACAACTGACAGTTAGTAAGGGAGCCAGCTGTCATGGCAGACATGGGCCAGTGGATAAACGCCAGTGAACATGAACAAACACGAATACAAATACTGCACACGGAAGGAAGTGGGCCTGATAAATTGTTACACGTTCCTCGTCTTCTACTGGGAAAAGACCAGTCCGTTTGTTAGAAAAGCACTACTCATATGGTTACTGAAGACTTCTCAGTAGCTCACGACCGTCTTTGTCCCTCTTCGAGTTCGTCAGACAGGCCCAGTCCCCAAGTTCCCGTCAATTATATGTCTTACTTCAACCCAAACTGTGGGAAATTCGCGAAGTAAACTCATTTACAAGACACTTTGATTTTAATGGAAGACTCGGCTGAACCCCAGTTGAATTCTTCACCAATGATGTTCCCCAAATGAATGTGCTGCACAAAAGTCGCCTCAGATTCCAGTTGGAATGATGTGCTAGATATCGCACTATCTTCCCTGAGGGAAAATTACTCATATTGTTGCTGGAAACTCTTCGACAACCCACTACCGGTCTCGCCCTTCTTGTGGCTCATCAGGCAGCTGCAATCGTCAACCTTAGGTCCCTTCAAGAAAACGTGCCGTGATATCTCGAGTATCGTACCAACTGGAACATGAGGCGGCCTTTATTCAGCACAGTGACTTGAAGAGTACTGTAAATGGGAAGGGTTACGCTGGGATTCAGTTGGGTCTACTGTCAAAACCTAATGGTTGTGCAAATGAGTGTATTCTACTGATCTACTTGGTTCTCTTTGTCCGTCCACTAGAATATTTGCGCCTACTTGCTGCGTGATGTCAAATCTTGTTAAAACTCATACATGGTCTAGCACATTAGGTATGACCACAAAGACCAGCACCGAATATAAGCTTCTGATTGAATCGCCGGGATTATCTGTGCGCTGATCAGGCGTAATGAATTTTAGCGTGAGACTTGCATCCGCTCTGTTGCTGCAGCCGTCGTGAGGGGGCTTTGCGGGCTAAATATCCACAACCATGTTGCATGTGGTGATCCGGTAGTTTTCTCATTGCAGACAACTTGCCACCATATGTGAGAAACCGAATCAACAATGGAAGACTTACAGTCAACATCCGAACTTTGAACCCAATAGTTTTACCTCAATTTGATGCTGATGAACAACTGGTCCAGCTGCTGGTCTGTGAACCACACACAATGAAGTCACCGGGTTATCCGAATAAGACACTTTTCAGGATGGTCCCGAAGCTTGTAAACTAAAAAAGTGGTAACGTTTTCAGATAATGTGTGACAAGCTCTTATGTCTGAAATGTAATAAAGACACTTTGATGGTCCCGAAGCTTGTAAACTAAAAAAGTGGTAACGTTTTCAGATAATGTGTGACAAGCTCTTATGTCTGAAATGTAAGTAATGGTTCAAGTTTGTCGTGTTATATATATATATATATATATATAT